ATAAATCCTTGGAATCTAGCTTCTGGTCTTACATGCTATTGAAATCCCTCACCTGACAATGAATGACTGAATTGCCCCATCTTCTTTCTTAGTAATCTCCCCTCAACTCCAACCTTGACCTTGCTGAGAAACCGAATTGCCAACTCTCCTCCATGCCAGCCCCTTTGAAAAAACTATCTCCTTGGCTTGTGACATTACACTGCTTATTACACTTCACGTACTTCTACTTTCTTTTCATTTTCTCTCCTCTTAAATGGTTCTATATCCTCAGTTCTCTTTTACTAATCTCATTGCATCAATCGCTACCTCTTATGTATGCAACTCTTTAGCTATGCCAGTTCTAAGCTGATTTTCTCACCATTCACTCTAATTTATTATGTCCCAAATAAAGATCTAGCTTTCCTTCTAAAACCAGGGTGGGATTAGACATCCCCAAAGGCCCTTTGCTGCTCTAAAATTATCATTCCACCCCTCCCCCCACTTACACCTAGCACTCCCCTAACAAGCATCCTAATGGTGCCATGCAAATTGGGCTTATTCTCCAAATGCATCCTTTCCTCTTATACTTCCAACCACAATAACCTGCTCCACTGATCAAAATCCTATGCATTTTTAAAAATCTTAATATTTTATTTTTCCCCAATTACATGTAAAAACAGTCGTAACATTTTTTTCAAATTTTGAATTCCAAAATCTTTCCTTCTCCCCCACTGAGAAGGCAATTTAACATAGGTTATACATGTGTAGTCAGGCAAAACACATTTCCATGTAAGTCATTCTGTGAAAGAAAACAGACCCAAAAAACCTCAAGAAAAAGAAAGTAAAGAAAAAGTATCATTGATCTGCTTTCAGGATCTACCAGTTCTTTCTCTGGACATGGACAAAGTCTTACAGAACTGTCTTGGATCATTGTATTGCTGAAAATAGCTAAGTTATTCATTACTAGATCATCATACAATATTGCTGTTACTGTGTACAATGTTCTCCTGGTTCTATTCACTTCACTTTGCATCAGTTCATGTAAGTCTTTCTATGTTTTTCTGAGAGTATCCTGCACATCACTTCTTAAAGCACAATAGTATTTAATCACAATCATATACAACTTGATCAACCATTCCCCAACTGACGGACATCCCCTCAATTTCCAATTCTTTGTCACCACTAAAAGAGCTGCTATAAATATTTGTGTGCACATAGGTCCTTTTCCTTTTGTTTTTAATCTCTTTGTGATACAGACCTAGTAGAAGTATTGCATGGTTTTATAGCCCTCTGAGCATAGCTCCGAACTGCTCTCCAGAATGGCTGAATTTAGTTTACAACTTCACCAACAGTACATAAATGTTTTAATTTTCCCACATCCCCTCCAATATTTGTCATTTTCCTTTCCTGTCATATTAGCCAATCTGACAGGGGTGAGGTAGTAGCTCAGAGTTGTTTTAATTTGCATTTCTCTCATCAATAGTGATTTAGAGCATTTTTTCATATGACTATAAATAGCTTTGATTACTTTGTCTGAAAACTGCCTGTTCATATCCTTTGACTACATATCAATTGAGAAATGGCTCTTATTTCTATAAATTTGACTCCATTTTCTATGTTTGAGAAATGAAGTCTTTGTCAGAGAAACTCAATGTAAATTTTTTTCAGAGTAATGATTACCACCCATGTATTTCCCTCCATCCTATTTTCCCCATTTATCCTACTTTTTCTCTCCTTTTACCCTGACCATTCTCAAAAGTGCTTTGCTTCTGGCTTCCACCTCCCACAAACTTCCCTCCCTTCTATCCCCTCCTCCATTACCCCCCCTCCCCTTCCCTTCCTACTTTCCTGTATGGTAAGATGGATTTCTACACCCAACTGAGTGTGCATATTATTCCCTCTTTGAGCCAATTACGATGAGGATAAGATTCATGTGCTCCCCTCTCTTCTTCCCCCATTTTCCTGTCCACTGTAAAATCTTTCAGAACTTGTATACCAGATAATTTATCCCATTTTACCTCTTCCTTTCCTCTTCTCCCAGTGCATTCTCCTTTCTCATCTCTTAATTTTATTTTTTTAAGATAATCATACCATCACATTCAACTCACACTTCTGCTTTCTATGTATACTCCTAACTGCCCTGATAATGAGAAAGTTTTTAGGAGTTATAATTTTCCATATTATCAAATAAATCTCTTATGACTTCTCTTTCCTGTTTACCTTTTTATGCTTCTTTTGCGTCTTGTATTTGAAAGTCAAATTTTCTATTCAGCTCTGGTCTTTCATCACGAATGCTTGAAAATCCTCTGTTTCATTGAATATCCATTTTTTTTCTCCTAAAGGATTGTACTGTTTTGCTAGATAGGCAACTCTTGGTTGTAATCTTGGGTTTTTTTGCCATTTGGAATATCATATTCTAAGCCTCCAATCCTTTAATGTAGAAGCTGCTGAATCTTGTGTTATCCTGACTGTGGCTCCACGATATTTGAATTGTTTCTGTTTGGCTGCTTGCAGTATTTTCTCCTTGATCTGGGAGGTCTGAAATCTGGCTATAATATTCCTGCGAATTTTCATCTTGGGATCTTTTTCAGGAGGTGATCAGTCGATTCTTTTGATTTCTATTTTATCCTTAGGTTCTGAAAGATCAGAACAATTTTCATTGATAATTTCTTGAAAGATGATGTCTAGGCTCTTTTTTTGGCCATGACTTTCAGGTAGTACAATAATTCTCAGATTATCCCTCCTGGATCTATTTTCCAGGTCAATTGTTTTTTTTCATTGAGATATTTCACATTTCTATTTTTTCATTCTTTTGATTTTGTTTCTTGATGTTTCATAAAATAATTACCTTCTACTTGCCCAATTCTAACTTTTAAGGAATTATTTTCTTCAGTGAGTTTTTGTACCTTCTTTTCCATTTGGCCAATTCTGTTTTTCAAGTTCTTTTCTTCATAGAGTTTTTGTACCTCTTTTTCCATTTGGCCTCGTTTGTTTTTTAAGGTGTTATTTTCTTCGGTACTTTTTGTGCCTCCTTTACCAAACTCTTGATTTTTTCATGATTTTCTTGCATCACTCTCATTTCTCTTCCCAGTTTTTCCTCTATATCTCATATTTGATTTTTGAAATCCTTTTCAGCTCTTCCAAGGCCTCAGAGCAATTCATAATTTTCTTTGAGGCTTTGGATACAAGAATTTTGACTTTGTTGTCTTCTTCTGAGTGGGTGTTTTGATCTTGCCATCATAGTAACTTGCTATGGTCAGAATCTCTTTTTTCTGTTGTTTGCTCATTTTACAGCCTATTTCTTGACTTTTAACTCTATTCTAAAATATGGCTTTGCTTCCCAAGTGGAGGGGGCAGCATCCCAAGCTTCAGGTGTTTTGTGCAGCTGTTTTCAGAGGTAATTCTGGCAACCTATAAGTTTTTGGCTCTTTGAAGGTGGTATGATCCAAGTAGAGATGTGTTTACTACTCTCTTGTACTGCGCAGTGGTTTGTGAGTGACCAGAAGCACTCTTTTCAACTCTGGAACTGTCACCAAGGTCCCTGTTCCTTTGCAAGCCCAAGCTCTGGTGGTATAGTGCTCCTCCTTGCACTGTGACTAAGACCCGGGCCTGAAACCCAGATCCAAGTATATACCCTTGGTGCCAAATGGATTCCTGTAAAGCTCCTTCTGACCTCTTGTCTGATCCCCTTACCATCTGTGGGCTAAGAGGTCTGGAAACTGCCATTGGTGCCACTGATTCAGTCCATCTGAGGTTTGCTCCTGGTTTGGGCAGCTTGTGCTGGGCTGGGGCTCCTCTCTCACCCTGGTGCAACAGACCTTTCTAACCAACTTTCTAAGTTGTCTTGGTCCAGAAAATGTTTTCACTCTGTCTTTTTGTGGGCTCTGCTGCTCTGGAATTTGTTTAGAGTCATTATTTAAAGGTACTTGGAGGGGTTTGGGGGAGAGCTCATGTGAATCCCTGCCTTTACTCTGCCCTCTGGCTCTGCCTCCCTCAATCCTATTTATTCCTGAAGTCCCTGGTTGTGTTAACTACTCCATGGAGCATTTCTGGAACATCCCAGCTAGAATTAATACCACTTCTATGCTCCAATAGCATTTGTACCATCACAACCCTTCATAACCTGTCCTATATTCAGTAGATACACATTTGTGTACTTGTCACCTATCCTACAGAGCTGTAAACTTCAAGGGAAGGGACAGTCTCATATATTTTGGTAATCCTAAAATACAAGTACTCAAAATTTTTCAACTCATATATAAGGACAAACAGCACAGAACAGCTAGTATTCCTTTTCACTTAATACTTATTGTTGTAGTGTTGTGGTAGTAATTAATACAACACCGAGAACTTAAAAAACCTTAGCACTATGAAGTATAGCACATTGTTTCCCTGATAGCTGAGTCTTTGGTGGCAATTTTGCACATCTCTGACCACTTTGTATCTTCATGCATTGTTCTTTGCAAATCCATGGGTAACAAGAAAGTGATGTCAAAAGTCAGGGTTAGAATTTCACGCAGAATTCTCATCGACCAAGCTTGGCTCCAGAGTACAGCTGGGAAAAAGCTCCCCATTGACACAAAAGTGAAGGGAGTGTGATGAGACAGAACATCGGGGATGCTGTGCTGGCAGATTTGCTGAACTGCTCCTCTCATTTTTTGTGGTGGGGAGAAGGGGGAGATATTTGAAAATGAAGGTCACATAAGAACAAAAGAAATCCATAAAAATAAGATGAGGAAAAAAAAACCAAACCTTAACAACAGAGCATTGTCCCTTTCTTTTCCAAGTAATGAAACAAAATGTTCAGGACAATTTTGGCTTTGTTCATATTCCAGGAACAGATTATCTGCTGTACTTAGGATCTCCTCCTCCTATTGTGTATCTTCATTAATTGGCCATAAATAAAGTCTTTGGCTTTGTCTGTGTGCCATGCTAGATAGGAAAACAATTGTCAAGATTATGAAATGATCCTGTTTCAGACTCACTTTATTATTCACAATGAAATACATAATTTGTGGAACAAGAAGTTATTTTTGGAAAACAATTTATTCAGGAATTACATAATTTCAAATATCTTCCAAAATACAATTTACTAGAATGCTACAAAAGAAATGAAATACAATAAGAAATTAATCTTAACTGCCATTAAATATTTACTTTCACTATTATATACATACAAAATGCCACACAATTATTTTGCTTAGCCTTGGAATGTGCATTATGTTCCATACTGCTGCATCTTCCCGTTTGTTTCTCCAACCTCGTGTTAGGAAGGCTCAATCTCAGCACTTTATACAGTTCTTACAACGGGCAAGTTCAATGTTCATGAAAGCTTAAAATACACGTAGCAATTTACAGTTGGGGGAGTTTGTCCACGGGGGTATCGAATTTGAAGTCTGCAGGAAACAGGTCTGGGGCTCGAGGATAGATGAGTCTGTAAGACTGCCTGATTGTAACATCAGCAACTCCAGCAATATCTCCAATTTCTATGAGGCCCAAAACAAACAAACAAACAAGTTACAGACTCCATAGTTTTTTTTCCCCCACATTTATTTTACGACGTGTTCATATCAGAAAGAAATAAAAAGGTAATTTTTCAGGAAGTTGATAAGAATTGAGCTCTTGCTTTAGGCAGTGTTTACAGCATGATTGAGCACCACTTAAAAACCCAGTCTGATAAGACACAAGTGTACCTCTTTATGGCACAATGAGTCTCCAAAGAGCTGTGTCCTGGGGAAATCACATTTTGATAAACCATATTTTATAAGCTCTCTGAAATCACCAGTCACTTAGACTGCTTTGCCAGTCTATCACCTACACACTCTGGCCTCCTTTTCTTTCCTTTTAAAATACTGATGCTACAAGTCAACCAGTTCAGCTTTACGCTGTCCTCCACACATGAGATTCCTTTAATCCCTCTGCATGTGCTAAGTCTCGACTGGCTTCACCCTCTGCCTTTGAGCAGGACCTGTGCGCTGCTGGACAAAGTCACCCTGCTGCACTCACTGGACCACACACCAAACGTGTGCTCTTGCTGCCGCTCACCAGTCTTCTTACTCTTCCTCGACAGAGTCACCATCACATTTCTCACAGTATCTATTTTAAACTTACAGGGTCTCTTCTCATTCTCTGCCAAGAGCACAGAGGCCACTGAGCTCCCACCTCCTCATCCTCTCTCAGCCTCTGGACCCCGTTCCCTACACACTGCCCCTATGATCATTCTCTCCCTTTTCTAATCCTCGATGCCTCATGTCTTTTAAAAGTAGTTCCTCCTTTCTTGTTGCCTACAAACAGGCTCACATTTGCTCTAAGCTTATAATCCCTTCCCTTGATCCTACCATCCTCTCAAACTATCATCTTATCTCTCTTTTATAGTCAAAGTCCTGAAGAAAAAAATGCTATAACCTTCCTCCATGTTCTCATTCCTCATTCACCTTTTTTTCTGCTGAGGACCAAATGAGACTGAAGTACCACATGAAAAAGTGGTTATTATAATACAGTAAATAAGTCATCTACTTTGTAAACATATGGGGCTTGGTATATTGCGTTTTCTTGAAGGAGGGGCAGATCTGAATTCCAAACCATTGAGAAGGGACCTTTTTATACCAACAAAAAAGTTCCCAGTGCTGGGGAAACTTTTAAAAAATTCTAATGGCATTCATTTTTATACTACAACAAATTTACATGTTATGTATTAAAAAGTGCTAAGTATATTAAAATAGGAAAAAGAATTTCTGATACTAGAAAGTTTACTACCAACTTCACCATTAAGTCTCAAGTTGTGGGGATGTGGTAGTGGAGGAAAAAGGGGACAGAGCCCAGCACTTGGATTTTTGGAAACTGTTCCCTGTTCTTTCCAACCACTCCTTTATAACGCAGATACTTTTATCAGCACAGGTGGGCAGAAAGTGGACATTTAAGCTGATAAAACTAAAATTAAGACATACAGGGAAGACTTCAATCTCATGATAGCAAGTTTGAGCTATGGACCAAGATGTACAAGCTTAGCCACACAAACAAAACACCACCCACCCACTCTCTTCAACAACCAACCGCCCTTCAAAACACAGCAATCTGAATGTCCCCAAGAACATAAAGCTGAGTGTTGAACTACTTATACCTAATTATGTTACAGAATGATCACTTCAGTCCATATTAGCATATGAAAGTATAACTGGAGGTTGCATGAAAAGAGTCATTACATAAACACTCCCTTTTTGGGAAGGGGCTGGCAGCTGCTGTGACAGTACAGGGACAGGGGTCTTCCTGACTCCCAGGCCAGCCTCCTCTAACTCTCCGTTGCTCCCTTATGAGATACACAGATAAAATCAAGTAATGGCTTTTTCCCTTTATACACTATAAGTAATAATCACCAGAGGTGTCAGGAAAAGCCATAAATATTTCATGTCATCCTAACCAAGTTTACTTATAGTATGAATAACAATAATTGAAGTCTGATCGCACAGCACCGTCTCAGGTGGTGAAATCTGTAGTGCTAGCTTTTTTATGTATGTATGTATTGGCAATTGGGGTTAAGTGACTTGCCCAGGGTCACACAGCTAGTAAGTGTCAAGTATTTGGTCTGAGGCCGGATTTGAACTCAGGTCCTCCTGACTTCAGGGCCGGTGCTCTATCCACTCCACCACCTAGCTGCCCCCCCAAGTGCTACCTTTTAAAAAACGGAAAAAACAATGCCAAAGAAGTCAGAAAACAAGAAAGTTTAAAGAGGGAAAGGCTTTGAAGAAAACACTGACAGTGGTTTGAACAGTTCCCTACCAGAAGAAAAGCTGCACCTGGTCTGAGTGTCTGGAGAATTCTTGTCTAGTGGCAGGTCACCCACTGAACTGAAGGCTGAGCCCAACATCCCACCCAGAAGCCACACTGACTCCTTTTGCTGCTGCTGGCACTAAGGAAATGCTTACCTTTCTGGGTCCTTTTCTCTGCAGAGGCTTGGGAGGCCATGTAGATTGCTGCAGCAGCCACAGAAATGGGGCTCCTGCCGGGCACCAGGTCCAACTCCACAGCCTTCCGGGCAATGTGCGTGGCTGCCATCTGTACTTGCTTAGGAAGACCAAGGTTTGAACAAAACCGTGACATGAAATCTCCCGTTGTGATCAAATCTACACTGGTTTCTAAAGCCTTCAAAATTAGTTTAAAACACCGGCCTATTTCTTTCTTGGAAATCCGTGATACAGCACATATTTCTGAAGACAAAAACGAGACATACAAAGTTATAGCATAATTTACATCATATTATTTAAGATTTCTTAGTAAACAAAAATAGTACTTTTTCCCTTAAAGAGGGAAGTATGAGGCTCTAATAAGAGAATATATTCAAATTCTGCCTGACACTTTGATCATTTGATATTTATCAGAATTTCAAGCCTCCTCATCTATAAAACAGTGACAATTATTTTCAAACTACCTCAGTGTTATTTTGAGGAAAAGTTTTTTGCAAACCTTAAACATTATTAAAACAAGAATTGCTGTTATATCTCCATGGATTGATTTAGGTGATTTTCTGATAAAAACTTAAGCTATTTCAGAAAATCAACAAATGAGCAATTAAAAAATATCAGGTCTTCTCTTGAAGAACTGAATATAAATAGACAATTCTTAACTCCTGCCTTCTCAAGGGGGCAAGAGTGGGACAGAGATCCACTAGCACTTCCTGAAGAGTGCAGAGGTTCTCTGATTTAAGCTGAAGGAACATGAGTTATTACTCCACAAGTCCTATCCTATGCCACAGGCTTCAACTATAACATAATGCAGTCAACTAGTATATCAAAGCATTCTGATGTGATAAGCATGCTTGGAGTGAAAAAAATTAAGCTAACAAAATATCTAATTAAATAAAGGACAAAATAAAATGGTTGAAAAATCAAGATAAAGGTAGAAACTGGGGGCAGCTAGGTGGCGCAGTGGATAGAGCACCGGCCCTGGAGGCAGGAGGACCTGAGTTCAAATCCTGCCCCAGAAACATAACACTTAGTAGCTGTGTGAACCTGGGCAAGTCACTTAAAACCTCATTGTCTAGTCAAAAAAAAAAAAAGGGTAGAAACTGTCTGTAATCAAAGTAACAGTTACAAAAAACTGTAAACAAAGTAACAAACTCAAAGATGATACTCAAGCAGGTCAAACTGCATTGTGAAAAAGACTACCAAAATATAAGATATCTGTACAGATATTATTGAAGGTACTGCTGAAAACAGATAATTTACTCAGAACCTGTTTTTAACCAGCATCTATGAAATTAACATTTTTTGGATAATAAATTTAATGTTGATAACATACCTTTAAATGTTCTAGGAACACCCTCTTGTCTACAGGCAATATAGAGACAAGCAGAAGCTATGGCATCATTAGCTCTCCCCTTCAGGCTCTTCTGTTCGTACACTTGCTTGAATAAATTATTTGTTCGATCCTTCAAAGCAAAGAAACTAAGTTTAATTAACTCTAGGCCATTTAATTAGCCACAATATCAAAAATTCATATGCTCATTATATTATGCTAACTAAGTCAATGCCAGCACAGTTTGAGAGGTAGACAAGAACTTACAACTATATTTCGAGGGAGGTTGATTCTGTCTGCCATGGTAGTAATTTCTTTGAAAGCGTTCATCATTGCACGATCAGAACTGCTCATAGTTCTGCGATTCTGATACTTTGAATTTCCAAATTCGTCAAAGCTTGCTGCTCCTGTACCCTAAAGAATAAGAGTTTGTTTGTTTAGAACATAGTTTAAATTTAAATATTTAAAATTTCTCCAATAAGTTTTGGACACAAATTAAAGTAAAACAAAAATATGCCATCTGAAGATCTATTTCTAGATAGATCTAGGTATGCTGCTAGCTTCTTTTAAAATTGCATATATAGAAAATAAGGTTCTTTTGAATGAGAACTGTGATTTTAACTAAATGGTATGAACAGCAAAATAATTACAGAATTTCTCTTGATACAATTTTAAAAACAGTGTATTTACTTAATTTATGTATCCAATGTCATACTGAATTACCAAAGTATCATTTTATAGAGTTAACAAAAAATAGTAACAAAACTCATCTGGAAGAACAAGAAGTCAAGAATATCAAGGGAAATAATAAGGAAAAAAGTGGTAAAGAAGGAGACAATCTTAGCAGTACACCATCTCAAACTATGCTACACACCAGTAATCATTAAAACTATTTGGTAATGACTAAAAAATTGAGAAGCTGATCAGTGGAAAAGATCATGTATACAACAAAAATAAGCAAATGAATACCGGTAGCATAGTACTCAAGAAACCCCCAAATCCCAATTACTTGGGTAAGGTCCACCATTTAACAAAATCTACTGGGAAAGCAGAAGCAGTTTGGCAGAAATGAGGAGTAGACTAATACTTTACACCATATACCAAGATAAGCTCCAAATAGATATATGATTGAGATATAAAAGATAAATCAGAAGTGCAAAGAAGGGAACTGCAACTCTGGATGGAGAAATGGTTCATGCCCAAACAAGGGACAGAGAGGATTACAGAAGATAAAACAGAAGATTTTTATTATATAAAATCAATAATTGTTTTTACACAAACCCAATATAGTTAAAACTGGGAAACGAAAAAACAAAACAAAAAACTTTTCATCCAGGTTCTCTATTGAATATCCAAAAGTCAAGCTATACAAGTAACTGAGCCAAATTTATAAGATCAAGAACTGTTCCTCAAATAAATGGATGTGAAAATGCAGTTTTTAAAGGATGAAATCCAAACTATTAACAGTCATATTTAAAAATACACCAAATCACTAGTAATTAGAGAAGTACAGCTTAAATATCTCTGAGGTTCTACACCTCACACCTATCAGATTGGCAAAGTTGGCAAAAAAAAGAAAAAGAGTCTGTAGAGAGGCTTTGACAAGCCATGCATATTGATGCAAGGCCAGCAGATGATGAGTTGGTTCAGCCATTCCAGAAAGCAATTGGGAACTATGTCCCCAAAATCATTAAAACTACCCAGTAACATAATCAGCCTCTCTTTATATGTATGTGTGTCTATGTGTGTGTGTGTGTGTGTATATATATATACACACACACACACACACACACATATGTTTATGTGTATATATGGGAGGGGGGAGTGTCTATCCTCAAAAGATTCAAAAAAAAAAAAAAAATGAGGACCCATAAATACAAAACCATTTATAGCAAAGACCTGGAAAGTCACAGAGAGTTCATCAACTGGGAAATGGTTGAACAAATTATGATATATAAATGCAATGGAATACTCTTGTTTGGTAAGAAATGGTGAAACCTGAGAAGACTTGTATGAAATGATATAGAGTAAAGTGAGAAGAATCAGAACAATTTATACAATAATAATAACATGGTAAAGAAGGAAAAAAAACTTACTTTAGAACTCTGATCAATCTAATGACCGACCATGATGCCAGAAGACCAAAGAGGAATTATGCTACCCTATCCCTCCCAGGTAATTTATGGATTAGAGGTGAAGAATGATGCATAGACAATGGGACAACATATAGATTTATTTTTCTTGATTAGCAGTATTTGTTACAAGAGTTGTGTTTCTCTTTTCTTCCCTTCTTCCCTCATCACACACCCTACTCTCACTATAGGAAGGATGGAAGAGAGAGAAGGTAGGGATAGAATAGCCAAAAAGAAAAAGAAAAGGAAAAAAAAAGATAATTAAGTATTTTTTTTAAATCCTTAGAAAAGAACAAAAGGAAGTCAGAAAGAATCAAGGACAAGCAGGATGCTTCAAAAGTTATATGTACAAAGAACTTCAGCTTCATATTCAATTCTCTTCTTCTTGACATGGTATTCAGAATGCAAAAAAAAAATTCTTTTTAGAAAGGTGAATTATTCTATATGCCTGATATAGAACATACAAGGCCACTAGGCACTATTCACTTGCCACTAAGTTTAGATAGCTTGAATGCATTATTTGCAGATTATTGTACCACTTAAATGTTAAGAAAAGTGAATGGATAGAAAATCAAAATCCAAAAATCAAAGAATACACATCTACACAAGTTCAGTCCATCTCAATATACTGAAACAAAGTATCAATCCCCCCCAAAAAACCACCAAGCACATGATCCAATTTCAGAGCAGAATTCTTTCAAACTCTCCAACATTCTGTTATGTAGATAACTCATAAAACAAATATGAATAATCAGTCTCTTTTATGAGGTAAATATGGTGTTGACTTTAAAGCCAGTTAAATGCTAAAAAAAAAAAGAAAGAAAATATAGACCAATTTTGCTAATGAATAGATACAAAAAATACTAATTAAACTAGCAGTCAACTGAAATACAGCAATTATTCATCATGACCAAGCTCAGTTTATGGTAGGCTGATTCAATATCTGAAAGACTATAATACATAATGTAAACAAAAAAATCTTCAAAACTACAATTATATCAACCAAATTAGAAAAAATATTTGATAAAATTCAATATCAATTTATGATACAAATTCTAAAGAAATGGTCAGAGATAGATTCCCTATCCCCAACACAATTAAAGCCACTTTCTATCTGCACGCCAACACCTAGGCATCACACAAATTACCATACATCCCTTGGACCAATAATTCTAACACTGGTGACATATCCTGAAAGTGTGAGCAAAAACAAAACAAAATCTATTCAGAGATTTCTGCAACAGCATCACATGTAACTGCAAGCAAAAAACTATCAACAACAACTTTCCCTCAAACCTAGAAGCAACCAAAATGTCCAACAATAGGGGAATTGATCAAATTGTGGTAAGTTACTATAATGTAATACAAGATAAAATTAAATGGACAACTATGAGGAATAAAAAGAAATGTTACTTTCAATACTGAAATGAATTTAAATAGTCACTAAGCAAGTTTAGCTATCTACACTGATATTAAAAGTTTCTATTTTTTTAAAATTACGTGAGTTTCCTCACTATTAGTTAGAAACTATACTTAAGGAATGAAGGGATAGAAAAAAAAACTAACAAAAATGGGGCAACCATCAATACCCTTCCCCCTCTCTCTCCCCTAGACTTGACTTAAGAGGAACACATTTCAAAGTCCTTATGTTGCACCAGCATTAAGACACATAGACTATTTCTAGAACAATGATTCCCATATCCTGCCTGTGTGACAAGGTTGGGTGTTCACCTACATACATACATTTATTAAGAATATAATGAAATTTTCAAAATTAACTTTCACACATGCAAATGATGTACACAACTTTGAGGGAGGAAAGAATGTTATGAAATTAAACTAATGATAAAGTGCCAACAATTCCAAGAAGGTTGCGCACTGTTTGTTTAAACGTCACCTAGAATACTGGGAATTCAAATGTCAAACATGTCATTTACGTATTTGCACAATATTCAAAATCTGTACAGTTTGCTTAATGCAAACACAACTCTATTAAGAAGAGACTGAGTCTTTACAGTATTTCCTTTTTAAAAACCACAATTTATAAAATCTCCAGTGTCCTTCAAAACAACAAAACTAGTTTCTGCCTAATCCTAGCTTTGCCCAATCGCTGGCAGTGGGACCATCCCAACCTCTTTAAGCTCCTGGCTCTACCCTAAAAATAAGACAGCAAAGAAAAGGGACACAGTCACACTGTAACAGAAACCTCTTTTGCCCTGGTCTGTACTCATTTAGTTAAGGTGATGTAAACATTACCAGGCAAAAATCAGCAAGACCCTCCTCAGAGGTTACGGATATCTTCCACCTTATACTCCATTTCTTCCTTTTTCCATCACTCTTCCATTTTTAAGAAAGATAACCAGATCTACGTGGTAAAACTCTGGGATGTTAAGAATGTCTGATTTAGTTCACATTTCTTCTTATGGCTGAAAATGAAATGTTCTAATTTAGTCCTTCCACCAACGGCAGGTGGAGCACCAAAGAAGACAGTTTTCCTAATGACTGAACATACCTTGCCAATCATCGTAGTCAAGTCTCCATCACTCAAGAGAGGATTCTGAGAGTCTCCAACCCGACTTGGGTCTTTGGTTGCTTTGTCATTGCTGAAAGTTCTCCATTCAGATCCCACGTCTATAACACGATCACCTGAAGAAGCAATATACCCAATTCTAATTTAATCATTAAATTTCAGTTTTCTGAACACCATATAAATATCCAAGTTGGGTTATAATTCTTCATTTTTCTCTATGGATGCAGATATCACCTTAAATGTTAATCCTCCTTGAGGAGCTTGTTTTGAAGTAAGAGATATTATCACACCTTAAAAAAGATTGTATGTGTGCACGCATGCACGTGCACACACATACACACGCGCATGCGGGTGCCAGGATCTAACTAGTACAAACAACAAATTCCCCTGAAGTGTTTAGCATGTATTAAAAGTCTCATTATTCAAAGTTATAATTGTCTTTAGTATTCTTTTTTAAAAAGTAAAAATTAAAGGTGGGGAGGAAAAAGTGGGAAAGAACAAAGACCTGAAAGTTTAGCTGTGAGATCCTGATTGCTTGTCTGGGCCTAAGCTTCATCTGTTAAACAAGGGAACTGGACTAAATAAACCCCTTCATCTCCAAATCCTGTGATAAACTATAATGAAAGACAAAAGTGACTCAGAACTAATTAAAGTACGATTGTTTTGAGGGGCAGAGAAAATAAAATACACATTGGTGTTAACAGATAAGGCTCAAGTCCAGAGAACAGGCTCTCATTTTCTCTTTCACTTTCAGTTAAGTTTTCACAGAAATTCTGTCTCTGGAATGGGATCACTTAAGCAAAATCTTAACATTCTACATTTGTCGAACAAATGTTCTTTTGGCACACACACACACTCGCTCACCAATCGTTAATTCTTTCCGTCTGACAATCTCATCCTTCTGTACCTTAGTCTGGCTTTCACTCCACCTTATATTGCTTATTATTATTATTATTATTCATCTTGCCTAATGCCATTAACTGACTCTGCAAAAAAACATTATATGCAGCACTATGGGGAGTTAATGTCATAAAAATGATTCAATACTACCATTTATTAAGTGACTGATCTGTGC